AAGCACAAAAAATTAATTCTGCATCGTTGACATTAAATCTAAACAGTTTAGATTTAATGAGTACCATAATGCTTATCATTACTCTGAATACTGAAAATGGATCCACCATCCCAGTCCTTCTCCCATGAGATATTTTTTAATTTCTAAGGACAGGACAAGTCTTTCCTCGTATTCAGCCTGTTTGGCAAGGCGATTTGAGAGGAAAAAAGTAATTTATAGGAGTGATAAATCAGATTGCAAATTTGAAAGTTGTTTGTCACAATTTTTGGCTAATCTGACTTATAGGTCAAAAGTTATTTTTTAAGCACAATTACAAAAGCACTTAAAACTTACTTATGATTTGTACAAAAATAGCTTTCTAGAATTAAAAGATATTTTTGCCCTTATATTTATGTTATTCTTATGTTTCTCTCTGTATATTCTTTATGCTTCTCAATCAGTTTTTAGTTATTTATTTTTAATATTAAGTTTAATTTTTAATATTACTTTTCATTTTATGCAGAGTATATGATCCAATTAATTATGTAATATTATTTAGTTTAAAAATTTTCACATTATTATGATTTCTAGTTTAAATATATTTTATTCATTAAATATGACTTCTTCCCATTATAATAATTTGAAATTATTATATTTTGTAAATTCATATTTTTAATTATTTTTTATTATTTAATAAAAGTTTTATCCATTTTGATCATTCTACAAACTAAATTTACTTATTTAAAAATAATCCAAACAATTTTTTTACTTTACAACTAACTTTTACAAGAGTCAATTCAAACATAAATCACGTTACTTAATCTAACTTTTACTCCATCTGTAATTCAAATATAAATCACATTTGTTACTTTTACTCAATCTGACTTTTAAAAGTCATATTGAAAATAAGTCGCTTTTTTTTTTTTACTGCTAATCCAAACCAACCCATTATCTTGTTTTAAATATAAAATTCTAGTTCATTTTTTCCCTCCGGTGACTTGCTGTTATAATTGACTTGATTATGTTAATACCTTTATATTTTTATTGAATAACTTATATTTACCATCAAGATTACATTACTACCGTTATTTAAAAAAATATCTTAGTATCGTTATGGTTTATACATTCAAGCATCTTCATATTCATCGTGCTTGTTTGTAAAAAATTTATTGATACATTTGTGTGTCTATGATATTATAATTGTAAGGGATTGGAAACGTGTTTCACCCTAAAATACAGATTACACAATAATTTGTGAACGGCGTGTCATGGTATATTTTACGCGACTTACCCGCATGTGCATTGATGCTAGTTAAGCTCTCAAAGGATATTGGATCTAACAGTAAAATTAGGATTTTGAAATATGTGGGCACTAAAATATAATTAAATCAAGCAATTAGTTGCTAAAATACTCTTTTAATCTTCTTTGCTAATCACTTTCAATATGTTTTATACAGATAAAAAAAATCTTAAATTTCATTAACTTTTATTTAAAATTAAACATTTTTTCAATTTTATCCCTATTTAATATATATTATACCCCACGTAGACAAAGCCAACATAATAATAAATGAAGGGTAAAGTTGTCTATTTATATAAAAAAGTTTCTCTCAATATTTTATAAATAGAATAAAAAAATATCTTTTCTTTCTACTTTATAAATAGAATAAGATAACTATTCCAGAAGTATTCATGAAAGAGTATCTAGTACCCACAATTTTTTTTTTTGCTTTAATATATCTTGAAAATTTATTTTCGTAGCAAATATATCCTGCAGTTAACAAATGTTAAGTTTCATGATTAAGTTTTTTTCTCTTAACCTATTTGTGCTGACATGGCCGCTGACTTGAATTAGAAACACAGACAGTGGCTGTTGCCTACTTGTTCACTTCCCCCCTCTCCCTTTCATCCGCTTCCTGATTGCGATCTCTCCCCCAGTCCCTTTCTTTCGTCCCACCACCAAGAAAAATCCTTCCCACCTTCATCCTTGTCGCTTCACTTTGAGTGCTGTCATCTTTGAGTCACAACGCTCTCTGCATTTTCATCTCCTTCTTCCTCTTTCACTCAATCTCCGCAATCCTTAGTAGAGTTGTCAACAATGGTGACTTGGTCTTAAAAGGCTAACCCTCAAAGAACCAGGGTCTAAAAAGACCGTCCTTTTAAAGCTCGACTTTTGGACGTGTGAGTTCAAGACCTAAAAAAACCAGCTTTTTTATATTAATTTTAAAATTTAAATTTTTTTTAATTATTTTGAAATAAAAAAATAAAATAATGAAATTTCTAAAAATTTTATTCAAATTATAATATTAGTAAAATAAACCAATGATGTACAAAGAAAAACATCAAACACTAATGAATTATTATCCAAACTAAAAAAAAAACTAACTAAAATAAAAAAAAGCAGAAAGATAAAAATTAACAACATCAACCTGTCTTTATCTTCATTTTTTTTTTTTGACCAATGTCTTTATCTTCATTACCATCGTCAAGATCAACAACATTTAATTATTCTTTGCTACAGGTAGGCTTTTCTTCAATGATAAAAATATCAAGGTTTTTGTTTTCATCACTTTTATTTTAAATAAAACTATGTAGTAGTTACGAGTATAAATAAGAGCCTAAACATTTGTTAAGACATATGAACTAATGGTAAAAGAAGATTCACTAGTTATTGTAATGATTTAAATACTAAGAATATCAACTATCATCTTTGAAAGAATTAAAAATTGATTTTAACTGTCCTTCACTAGTTCAAGACATCTAATTGTTTTCAACTATATAAATTAAGTATTAGTTCTTTTAAATAATTTTTTAATTAGACTTATCCATAAAAGACTAAGTTATAATTGTATAAATATCTTAATAATAAAAACATAGGTGGGTTTAAAAGGGCTGATACTTGATCCTAACAAGCTAGTCTTTTTATTTTTGACTCTTAAAGTTAACTTTTTTAAACTCAATTTTTTTTAACCTCTTAAAATATAAACCCAGCCCTTCAGCTCATGTTTTGACGGCTCCATCGCTCAGCCGCCACTGCTGCCTCCAACAGTGTTGAATTACGGGTCATCACAAAACATTAGCAATGGACATAAGTTCTGAACACCCGTTACATAAGGATAGAATATTTGCGCCATTTTTCGGACCCATGAAGCAAAAACATCCGAAATTTCTCAGAAAACATGCGCTTTACAGATCGTTTCTACCTTTTATTTCATCAGTTTCTTAGGGCGATGAATTGAGGGAGGAATTTCCACAACATCAGGGTCTCGGCGATTCTCCACGAATGATTTCCTTTAGCCCTGCGAGGACACACAATGATTCCCTCTAGCCCCGTCTCTTTCTCAAACTTACGAGTCAATTCATCAGCACCACTCCCTTCAAAAATCAAAGAATAACTCTGCACGCCTTCATTAAATTGATCTCTGTTCATCAACGCAAATGAACACTTCGCTGCATTCTGACATATCAAACTTGAAAAGGACCACCGGACATTAATTTTGGGGGCGTTTGGTTGAGTCAGTAAGTGCTTTTTAAAAAATGATTTCACGCAATTTAAGATATTTTTTTAAAAAAAATTATGATTTGGTTTCACTTGAAATATCTCTTTTGATGAGCCTGACCACAAAGAACCAAGAAAAAACGTCTTAATATTCACGTAGGTTTATCGTGTTTACGGCGGAAATCCTGCTCCCCTGTACAAATGATTAGCTTCTCCCTGATTTGGCTACTTTTAGGTTTCCCGAAGCCAAGAGGAAATTTTGTGTGTTTACCCAGCCTACCTAATGAATAATGATGGAGAAAACCCTCAGTTGGGAATAAAAACAAAATGATGATGAGGAAGAAGTGATGGAGAAGATTCCCAGGCATGAGTACATGACATCTAAAAATAGAAGACAGTTGGTGATAATTTGTCGGGGTTTTTTTTTATAGATGAAAAGAGTAACAACTAACAATTAAGGGAAATGCTGAGTGATTTTTTTGACCTTGAAGGAAATGTTGTCGATGCTCTTCATGATGTATAAAAGCTACTTATTATCTATAAATAGTAATGAACATCATTTATTGTTTGAGCTTCTTTATAAAATTATATCCGCGTAATTATTATCGCTATACAAATCATTCACAAAGAGTATCTCCGGTTCTAATTATAAGAGCTAATTAACTAATTTGAGGAGATTAAAAAAAAGTTAAGTTAGTTATTTGTCATAAATAGATGTTGTCTTTCCTAAAATATCCTTATTAGTTATGTGTATTAGTTATATTTATCATTGTTAGAAGGACTATTTGAAAAAAATGTATAAATATGAAAGACAAAGTGGATTGGACTCTTATATTTAGGATCAAAATAAAAATAAGACAGGTAATATATTTCTATAGGAAACATAGCTATAAATATATTTTTGGGGTAGTTTATTGAAGACTAAAAAATGTAACTTCGGTTAAACTCAATATAACTGAGTTGAAAGAATTTGCTAAAAAATGGTTTTTAACTAAGTTTGATAAACCAATCCGATTTTGGCCAAAAAAAAAAAACCAATCTGATAATACATCAATATTAATTATAAAGAGACTCTAATTTTTTTTAAAAATAAGATCAAAAATTCAAACTTCCTAAATCAAAAAAAACAAAGCGTGAGAGTTTAGGCCAAATATATGGTAAAAGATTATTTATCATGATTAGAAAATACCACCGTAAATATATAATTATAATTACTACCTTGAATTTAATGAATTTTTTGCCAACTTGAGTTTAATAAAGTTAAGAAATGTTAGTCTGCACTCTGCACTCACTAATTATAAGGAAAATTCCAAAAAGCAACACTACCGTAAATAAGTGTTAAAATTATTATTTTATTTTAAAACTTATTATTGCATACTATTTAGCTGTTATTAGTTTTTTTTTTTTTAACTTCACTGTAATTTTTCCCTAAATGTATGTGCAACTTCAAGTGTTAAAAATTTTTCCCGCTGGCCCTACCCTGCAACCCGCGTGTGAAGTAAATAATCGCGCTGATCTGCTGGTCCTGGTGCATAAATTTCATTTCCTTTACCTGCTTTGGATTCTTGGAAATTGATTGAATCATGGGTGTTGCCATTTGAAAACTATCTGGAGCTCGAAATCGCGCAGTCATTTCAGGCATCGGAGGAGTCTGCGATGGAGGTAGAGTGGATTTTGCTATGCCATGGGATGGTGACTCTGGCACTGGTGGTCTCCTTACTCTGCGGTCAATGGCCCATCTTCCAGGGCACCATCGTCGAACGGCTACACTACTTCCTTACGTTCGGCGCCTACGATTACTTCCTGTACGCTCTTCTTCCCACAAATCCTCTCTACTTCATCCTTTCTTTTACTGTATGCACCGCAATTCCCGTTTCATTTCAGGCGTTTCGTTCGGGCAGTTTTTGGCTCTAAGTGTACGGATGCGATTCTTTCTGTGGAATATTACTGCTGCAATCGGCCCAATCCAATCCTGCAGGTTTCCTCAATCAATATAAGTATTTGCTATGCATTTGTATGATGTAAAATAAGGAATGATTCAGTTCTTAATAGTTGCTCTATATGAAAGTTGGAAAGGGGACTAACCCACTGATTACACCAGAGTTTTAGTTTTAGGTGCTTCGTAACTGTATTCATTAAGCTTTTAGCGAGGCTGCTACTTCGCTCAGAGAACCTTTTTCTGTTCTTTGTTAGTTATCTAAACATATTTCTTTTAATTGCAGATCCTATATCTTGTGATAATCAGCATAACATATTAATTAATCGTAAAGTTTTCCTTTCCCTATATTCCTAGCTACTATTTAAGTGGAATTCACAGGTATTGTGTGACATAGCTGATATATTTACCCTTTTGCTGCTCTGATTTTCATAGCACCATTTTGTCATGAATTTTGCTAGATGATATATGCTCTTTTAGGTACGCAAGCTTGCTGGCAGTTGCCGTTGGAGTTCTGCTCTTTCTATTGACCAGCTTTTCTGATCCAGGAATAATAAGCGTTGGCAATGTTTCTCAGCATCTTTCTTCCTACCCATATGATAATATGATTTATTCAGAGAAAGAGTGTCCAACGTGCAAAATTCCAAAGTGAGTTCGTCACTAGTGTAAAATTTTCATCAAATGTTCCATTTCAGTTTATTTGTAAACTTGTCTTAAATCTTCATGCAGACCTGCTAGGACCAAGCACTGCAGCATTTGTGACCGTTGTGTGGCACGCTTTGACCATCACTGTGGATGGATGGTTCATAATCTAACAGTGCTCTCCCCTTTTATATGATTGTTATGTGGTTTTGATTTAAAATCATTACCCTTTTTTTTTTGGGTTGCGCTTATGAGAATAATTTTCCTTTCAGAACAATTGCATTGGGGAGAGAAATACTCGGTATTTCATGGCTTTTCTTTTCTGGTGAGTGTTACTGTGGTGTGGTTAACGGTGCTTACCCCTATATGCGTGTGATACTATGTGCTTCAACTAGCTTTGCTGCTTAACCTGTGTATTGATTGATCTGTGTTTTGATCTTCCTATCTATGTATATACTTTGATACTAGTTGAAGACATCAAAAGTTGTGGGGAAAAAAACAAAATCCTTGAAATAATATTTGCAAATGAAAAAAGTATATTCTACGTATAAGAAGTGTTCTAAAATATTCCTACTAAAGGTAGGATATCACTCCTACCATGCTTATCCCAAAACCACCTAAAACCGCAAAGTGGAATACCTGTAAATACTGATCAAGTGTAATAGAAATTTGCAGAAGAATTATACATAATTGTTATTGACCTCCCATGAATTCTTTACATCCCATATGTGACTTTCTTTTCCACAGGAAACGTAAGACAAATTGATTTAAGAAGACCATGCTAAATCGCCAAGGAATGTCATTTATGGTGATTATTGAACTACGGTCCCCCCCCCCCCCCCAAAAAAAAAATTGTGATTCAACTGTAGGGTATGGAGTAGCTAGCGAGAGAAATCCTCCAAAACCAATCTTTTCTTTCAACATAAGCTTTTTGTTTGACATTCAATATTTATTTATGTTAATTCCTCACTGTTTCTGGACTAAAGTACTATACCGGAAAAAACATGCTTGTTTCAAAATGTCCTAACCCCAAGCCTTCCCATATACTGATTTTGATGCTGACTTTATATCTCCACCATGAAAGAAAACGTGCTAATTGAAATATCTAAGCTCATTTTTTAATAGGTAAGATAGGAAAGAATTAGGAAAGAGAAGGAAATGAGAGAGAGAGAGAGAGAAGAGAAGGAGACGAGAGACTTGGCTGGGATATACTGCGGTAGCCTGGCATGCTTATAATTATTATGTCTAACCATAAAAAGATATTGAACTCCCATGTTAGAGTTTGTAGGAAAAACACTTGCACGCAAGATGATTTATTTCTGGGGCACGTCTCATTCAGTCGCTTGGTTGATTATTGTTTCACATTCGGTGTGCAATAAGTCATTCCTTTTCTTTCTCCTGTTCAGTCTTATTACGTGATTCTTTAATTATCTTGCAGGCATTTCCTACTATGCCTGTATGGAACAGTTGCCATTGGTCTGATTGTTGCGGGAAAACTACAAGAACTGAGAATTGTACATATTCTAACAGGTAATATTGAAGCAGTTGTAAGATTTTTCTAAGTTGATTTTTATACTAATGCTGAGAACTCTCTCCTTACCACGATGGTCTAGTTTATTATGGAGTGGAGAAATCTTTTCTGGGTTTAGCTCCTCATATTGCACAGGTGAGGGATCTGTTCTTCTATCCTTTATTTCATGCTTCCTACTGTTTCTACTTGCTAGAGTGGGGATTTTCGCCTTATCATGATCTTGTATTCTAATGCTCTCCCTGTTTTCATGATGAAGTGGTTGCTGGGATCCTACAACACTCAAATACTTATTATGGTGTTCCTCTCTATCGTCGGAATGCTACTGGCTGGTTTTTTTGGTTACCATGCAAAGCTCTGCCTCAGCAACACTACCACTAACGAGGTCCTTTCTCTGATCTTGCAATAATTGGTACATGTATTTATTTGTTTCACATTGTCATGATCTCTTTTTGCCAACACACTTACTGTTGCCTTGGTTTTTTCCCTCTTCATGACCAGGTGCATTAAATTTTTACGATTATTTCTTAGAACTCGTATTTTTTTCTCTCTCACTTACAAGGCACTCACGTTCAAATATTTTTCTATAAAGACATTTCTTTATTTTTTTTGGTTCATAGGTTGAATGACACTCAGCTTCCTTTTATGCTCACAATGAAGCTTAAATTAAATTAAATTACTGGTTCATTGTGTTGGATTCCAGACCTTTAAATGGCAAGAGTGCATTAGTCGGCAGAGGAAGCTAAATGAAGCAGATTCCTGTGATGCATTCCCAAGAGCAAGTACGAGTGGTACGAGCAAATGGGAAGCCTTTTTCCGAAGATCATCTCCTGATGAAGTGGATGTTCCGAAGAATAATATTTATGACAGAGGATTCATTCACAATGTGCAGGAAGTTATTTTCCCCCATTCTACAAGACGGTCATTTATTGGAACTAAATCCAAGCCTGGCTAAGACGTAATCGATCTTAACATGCGTCTTGTGACACATTAAATTATTAAAATTCTTATTCGCTTGTAGTTATAGATTTATAATTGTCCCGAAGGTTGTAGTATTTATGTATGAGTAATAAATTCTTGGTAAAATTTTGTAATGTTAAATTAGTAAAAGCATAACTTACAGTAGCCGTATGACATCTCAACTCTCAATATTTAGCCCATTTTGATTTGATTATTTGTCAGTATATCCTTTATCCATTTTTTGCCCTTTTAAATCTTTTAATGAGCTACAAATTTTCTTCGTGCAAAATTGAGCTGCTTAGTATTAGCATTTTTGTCCCAACCTAATTTTTAATAGAAGAAAATAAGCACAATATGAACGTTGTATCAAAGAGCCATTCCCCCTATTATTTTCTGTTGCCTTCCAATTTCAGTCATTCTTTTTTTTAAAAAAAAAATCTAATTTTAGTCATCCCATGACCCATAACGTGAAATTTATTTTTTTAAAAAACCTTCATTAATCATGAATAATACATTTTATTGTTTAAACAAGAACGTAAATTTGTGTATAATGCCACCTTCAATATACTTTATATCATATATATCATCAAATACATATACAAACATGTTTAATTTTATATTTATTATATTAATAATATTATCATTTTGGATCGTGTTCCAAAAAAACAAACCACGGGAACCGGAAATATTTTACTAAGAAATATCAAACTTACATTTACAATTCAAATTTCTATTTAAATTAAAAAAATAAACAAATGTCATTTACAAACATTAAAAAAAGAAATCCTTTTTGTTGCACGGGTTGATGTCGAAGGTGAACTCTATTGACTAGTGGGTGGATGAGATAGACGTGGCTTGATGGGCTGGATGTCCCTGCTTCTCACGAAAGTCAAAAATTGCTGAGACAAGGATCGCGTCTATGACACTAGGTTGAAGGATATATTTCTTTATCACGAAAAAGAAAAGAAGCTTCAACTCGCAAATCTAAGTTTTCCTTTTCGTCTGTTTTTCTCCTCCTGTTTGATTCTGTGGAAGTGCTAGTTTCAGTTTTAGTTTGGAGTGATCATCAGACTGCTCCATTAAACATTCAGCTAGTTTGGAGTGATCATTTTGCACTTACAGTGCAGGGACTGTCTTCTCCTCTTATTCGTAATTAACTTAGAGTTTCATTTTTCAACTGCATTCTTCCGGCTCTTAAGGAAATTGTAATATTCACGCTGCACAATGCTATATGACTTGAAATTGGTGTTACTTGAGAGTTGAGAATTAGTCTTTCGTTGTTGTAATTGGACGAAATATGATGGAATCAAAATGTAGAATATTTTGCGTATTCTTTTTGTTTTTTGTTCTCTTCTTCGTAGATTGCCGGGTAATGTTAATGTCTTGTGCTGCCATCGAGTTTGCATATTTTGTCTTGTGTACACATTCTAAAAGGTGTTCGTGCTCAGATCACATTAAAAAAAATGGTGAAGGCTGTCGCAGTTCTTAAAAGCAATGAGGGCGTCACTGGAACTATCTACTTCGTTCAGGAAGGAGATGGTAAGTTTCGGTTGGTCTCAAATCTTTCTGAAGGATGCGTTTTGTTTTCCTTGCGTCAGTCACAAACGTTGTATTTTGAATTTTCAGGGCCAACAACTGTAACCGGAAACCTTGGAGGCCTGAAGCCTGGGCTCCATGGCTTCCATGTCCATGCCCTTGGCGACACCACAAATGGTTGCTTGTCAACTGGTATAGTCTATTGACAATAAACTAGCACCTTTTTTCTTATGCGTCGGCAATACTGAACCAGAGGAAAGAGTCATTTTCAGTTTAACATAAGAAGTGAGGAAATTGAAATGGATAGCTTGTTTTTCCTAGCTTAAAAGATTTTTTTATGTTGCTATTAAATTTTATGTTCTCCAAGTGCTTAAGCCTGGAGATGAAGTTTCCTACGAGGATTAAAATTCAAACACTGTCTTGCAATAATATCACTAAATCTTTGAATTATTTTAACAGGTCCACATTTTAATCCTGCTGGCAAGGAGCATGGTGCACCTGAAGATGAGAACCGTCATGCTGGTGATCTAGGAAATGTTAATGTTGGTGATGATGGTATGGATTGGTTCTGGTGATGGTTCATTTTGAAAGAGCTCTTCTTTTTTTTTTTTCCCCCAAACGAAAGAGTTCTTTTGTTTTGCTTATTATAATTTGTGCTTTTTTATCATTGACTTGGTGTCAACCCTGCTCTATGATTCAGGAACTGTGAGCTTCAATATTACTGACAATCAGGTTTGTTATTAAGATCTTAATGACTTCTTCTGGATGACTGAATCTAAAATCTGAACTTCATAATCCTTTAAGTTACTTAACTCTGCAGATTCCTCTCAGTGGACCAAACTCCATCATTGGACGGGCTGTTGTTGTTCATGGGGATCCTGATGATCTGGGGAAAGGTGCTTGTAAATTATATGAATGACTTCTGACAACTTTTGTGAGCCATTTGTGCTCAGTTATTTGTTGAAAGTACCACATCTTTTTTCCCCTGAATTCAAAGTGGAGAGATCAATTGCTGCTTGTCCTCTGATTTGGGACGTAAAATATGTACACATATGTCTGGACCAAAAAGTTTGTTGTTTGTGCTACCATCACATATGGGCTCTCTTTTGCTATTGGGAGGGAAATGATGCTGCATTGAAGTTGTTCTATGTAGTATCGTATTTGACACAAGTTAGGAAATTTGCAGGGTTTCTATTATACCGTTTACATATGGCTTGGTATTACACTTATGTCCTACAGTGTCCTTGGCTGGCCTACTCATTGATTGATCGCCTGTGTTTCTACTAGTTGCATTCTCTGCATAAATTTTATTGCATCGTCACACGATTGTTTCATGGGGCATATCCCCTCCATTGTTTTTTAGACTTGGAAGTTTCTTTTCTTTCCCTTTTCCACTTCCTCTTTTAGCTCCCTTCATGTTAACACTCTATGCTCTTGTATCTAGGGGGCCACGAACTTAGTAAAACAACTGGAAATGCTGGTGGTCGAGTGGCTTGTGGTAAGCACCATCAGCTCTTTTTTTGTTTTTTTTGGGGTGATTCTACAAAGTAAAGTTATTTTGAAGATCTCTAGAGACTTTACCAGTATAAGATATGTCAAAAACTTTTGTCATCTAATTTCAGATGCAAATATACTTTTTTAGTTTTTGCACTTTCCTCCCCGTTATTATCTCTTGGGAAGCTACAGTGCTATATATTCAGGCTATTTTTGTGTGTCTGCTCATATTGACTTAGGTGCTCTAAATTTTTGGCATTGTTCGTTCAGGTATTATTGGTTTGCAGGGATGAATCACCACACTCTCAAACCTCAGCGACATCAAGTTGAGTATATGCGTGATCACATGGAGAAGCTTTAAACTCCTCGGAATAAATTGTAACCTCTCATGGGTGTTATCTGTGATCCTGTGTGTTTGTTTTGTGACTCTCTGCTATGTAGCACTCCAGTTCTTTATGGCACTGACTATTGACTGAATTATCTGGTGTAGTTCGTTATTTTGTTTCTGTTTTATCATTGTGATCTTGACAAATCGAGCCACTTTTTGTGGTTGGTTTAGATTAGATTCTTTTTGGTTGAATATCTGGATAATACTGACCATCAACACTGGTTGAGTAGTTAGAATCATAGGAGGTTAGTGGTGAAAGATTATGACCATCCTTTTAGGATTCAGCTGGCATGCTGCTTTAGGTTTATAGGATAACTACATTATAAAATTAGCACTTGCTTGGTGCGTGTTCTGTGTGTATTTGTGTGCATCAAAGCCTACTGCATCAAAGTTATTTATAATTTAATCAAAGCTTTGGAGAGAATCAGGCTGAATCAAATTTTGTTGTTTCATCCAAATATTCCCTTTTTTGACGTATTCAAGGAGAAGCAGAGTCATCCCCTCATCGTCATGTGGCTACTACTAGTTTCCCTCAATTTCACCGTGGCAAGACCGATTGACTTTGAACAAGAGGTATTTTGGTTCATTACATCTGCTCCTTTCGTTGTTCTAATCCATGGAAGACGTCACTTGATTGCTGGTTTCACCTGGGGGAATGGGTTTTCTGCTTCATCTCTTGTTACTAGTATCCCTGCGTCAGTTTGCTGCTTATGATTTCCTGTTTGGTTTGGTGCTTCATCCCTTGGAGTTAGGCGAATGCCTGGCGTTTCTTAATTATCTGTAACCCTCTCTCTCTCTCTGTCTGTAGTTTCTGTTTAGCCAGGACAAGGGTCTATCCCTGTTTTCGTTTGCATCCGTTTTGCGTTAGGACTTTTTCACGTTAATCAGTAGCACTATCTTATTCCCCATCACTCTCTCACCGGAAGCACGTCCGACAAGGAGCTGACCCAGCGACTACAATAGCTGGTAGTGCTGTGTTGATTTTGATATCAAAAAAACTCATTTCATTTCAACGCCAAAAATTTAAGGCAATGCGATGCGCCAGAGAATCTGATTTACAATATTCTGGCTCTTCAAGGAGACGTCACCTATGGTACACAACCTTATCTCTACACAGGTGCTCAAAAAGAATTAATTTAATACATGCAATATAGGATCTCCGCAAAATTTACACAGCACACGATATATTTTACATGTTACTTGGCTTTACTCTCATTGCCACTGATGGCCGTTTCGTTGGGTAGGCGAGCCAGGCTCCACAGGAACAAAGCCCCTGCCCCCAAAAACGGGGCGCATGAATGCGTCATCAAACTTGCGCCAGTAGCGATGGACTGTGTGCGTAGGAGTGGTGAGTAATAAACGGATGCTACTTGGACGAATGAGTGCATTTCCATCAATATCAAGTTCGGAATCTTGGGAAGCCCCAAGAAGTGGCACGGTAAAAGATTTTGGAGTAGATGATTCCGTTGTGACCACGCTGCTTGTGTGTTTAATATTAGGCAGCAAATACCTTATGAGTGGCTTAGTCATTAAACCGAAGACCTGAGGGATTGTCATTCAACCACGTCAGTACCGTCTCTAAGGATATTTATTTTATCTATCCATACATCTGACTCATAGAAGAGCTGAATTGTGGTTGGTAATGAAAACGGGAGTTATGGTTCAGCGATCCAAAAAGAACTGGCAAGATGAGCTCGAAAATGAACACAAACTAAGAAGAATATCTTACCACTGTGCTGAAGAGCACAACTGTGATTGTGCTAGTGATCATCATAGCATGGGATCGCAGTTGGGTATGACCCGACATGGTGAACTGCATTTAGTAGTATTTATCAACGCATCAACTTCTCCATGTAAGAGCCTATCTTCAGTGATCCTTCATTCAATGTTTGCAGAACATTTGTACTTACCTGATTATACGCAAGTGCCATTGAAACAGAACCTCTCATCAGACCAGCCCACCATATGATCACCTGGAATAACAAACTTGTAAGCATAATTCGACATCCATGAATATCTGGAAATACAATATTTATTGAGTTATAGAATTACAGCCGTACTTGTTGCCTAAAGTTGATTTTCTCATTTGGCGACTTTTTAGCCAAGTTGGACAGGAAGGACAGGGGGAAAACAAAAGCTGCTCTTCCAGTGAGTACTAGACCCAACAACACTGAGCTCACTGCTATTGATTTTCCTGGGCTGCAGAGGAAACCAAGTCAGGCATATGGGCTGTTTTGCGCCAAAAATGTCTTTTTCTTTTTGGGGAAAAAAAAAAAGTAAGATTAATAATTTGAGGCTAAGATGGCCAAAACAAAAGCAGAAAACTTGAGGCAAAGACATCAATGGGCTATTTCCCTGAAGCAGCCATATCAATGAAGTTATTGAATAGCCTTAATTAAACTTCAGTATACTAAGTGAATGAGGTGCAAAAGCATGCACATGCCAGTCGGCCCCACTTCCAAAACGCGTTCACGTCTGCCTGTACCTTAATTTAGTAAACTAAAAGATTGAAATCTAAAAGAAAAATCTCACTATATCATACCATTTTTTGAGGTAGATGGTGACATTAGACTTTTCACGAGAGCACACAAGTCTAGATGAATATGATAGGTTAGTCAATCTCTCACCATATTAGGCTAGTCCAAGAGAAAAATGGACGCACCTATCACTAACGAACCTCCATTTGTCAATGTCCAGGGCATCTATACCAACATAAAGGAAGATAAATGTCTCAGCAACAAACGACAAGGTTGCAAAAGCATGCCTGTGATTAGAGGAACAAATATAGTGAGATATTTATAGGATTGCTTAGTGCAAGGGTTTTACTACCTCATAAACAGAAACATATAACTTTGAGAGATTTTGTTCAGAAGCGTACTTCGTAGTGACTCTGGAACTCTCAGTCACGTTATGCCAAGTATAATGGGACATTACAATCCCACAGAAGAATACAGTGAGGATACCACTCAGATAGCATAACTGCAGAAGATGCAGATGTGTCATTGTCATACATATACCGAAATTCAAATGAACATAATGCTCAAAGAGGGCAGTCTACAGGAAAACGCTTAAATGACGCTTTCCAAATCTTACTTCAGCCAGCATGTAGGAAAGGTAAGCCATCAGCATCATTAGAGCGACTTCACGATCCGTGGAGTGCCTGAAATATGTTGAGTCTCAGTAAAGAAATTCACACATAACTCTAATGCATGCATGCGACCACAGACAACCCTGACCCCCCCGGGATTAAAAGATCACAACGAACCAATGTAATGATTAAAAAAAAAAAATTGACAGGAGAAATTTCATGAGTATATTTTATACATTTGAACAGATAAATTTTTGAGTAGGCTATTATTATTGTTATTACTAAACTCTACCGAACAAATTCTCACTCTTTCATTTTCACTGATTATAAGCATTCAGCACACTCAAATCGGATGGGAAACCTTTTCTCAAAAGCTTGCCATTGAATTAGGAGAATTCACCTAACCTATGTATCCAATCATATAAATAGACACACCATACTACTTTAATCTCGAAGAAAAGAAGAACTTTTCACAGGATAAGATGACAGATTACCACCATAGTAACTAATAGCTGTGGAACAAAAATAGTAAAAATAATTCTGCTAAGAAAATACCTGCCAATATATAGCTTTTTAATAATATAAGCACTAAGCAGACCAGTCTGCAAAGTGAAACAGTAAGTTAGGTCAGAGCCAAATGCAATATAAGTAAGTATATGCGCGCCAACAGTTGATACAGATCTTGTCAGTCAGTGTTTGCATGCTTGCATGCAAGTGTGCATAAGAGAATTAGAAGGAGCGAGAAAGTTACCAAAACACCGAGCAATGTGCTTGCAATAAACAGGTACAGAAAGTTGCCAAGAAAGTTTAAAGCAATTCCGGAGTCTAGTTGGTTGAGGTCAAAGCTTTGAATTGCATTGAAAAGCACAACAGATGTAGCATCGTTCACGACACCCTCTCCAAACACAAGGCTGTAGAGTAAAGGTGTCTCGTCCTGATTTAACACCTACACGATCATTTATAAGTGAGGGACTGAGCAATGCCATCTTAGTTGCCAGATAGACTGCAAAAATATATTGATCCATACCTGCAATGTGCACACAGAATCTGTTGCGGCAAATATTGCACCAATTGCTGAAATTTTTTAAAATGTTAGTAACAGAATGACAATTTGACTTAAAACAGTGGTAAATTAAATATTTACCTAGATAATCCCCAATCTCAAGTGGACCAATGCCCATCTTCCTAAAAACTTGTGTAACGCCTGAAACAATACATCAACTATTAGTCATGACTAGACAATTTGTTGCACGGCAGCATAGCCAATTTGAAAAATTACAGTTTTAAATTAGTTCTAAGACCTGTCCAGCAACGAACTAAAAATCAGTGATGCCAAAATATTTTTGGGGTGAACTAGACTTTCCTCCACTTTGGGATGTTCAGGTTATACAAATCTTCGCTTCTATTTTGAAAGTCTACACTCCTCTCCAGAAATCAAAAGATGTTTTATATTGCCTCCCCTCCAACAAAATATAAGCTACAATTGTAGCTACTTTGACCGAAATAACTCTACGCTATTATTTATGTTATATAATGAGTATTAAGAATGTATTTGATCAATATAAAAGTAGTCAGATTTATAAATGTAAAATGAATCAGCTTTATATTCTTCAACACAAAATAAATAGCACTAAAACAAAAGTTAAAACACAACTTTGAAAAGAAAAATAGATGAGAATATTATTCCTGAGAGTAGTTTAATCATGTTTTAATAATAGAGAAGAGAGTCTTGGGGGAGGAGAAAGTAATTTACTCACTTTCTTTATTCTGTCAAATTCATGTAAAGAATCAAGGCTCACATACCAAAAGTTATGATGGTACAAGATATTAATGTACCAACAGCACCAAACAGCACAATAGTGATGAAATTTACGAAAAACTGCTTCTTTTTCACCTGAAAGCTGGGTTGCATTAGAAAAAAAGAGTTTAGTAACAACATAATAACAGCAATTTGCCATACACACGATGATGTTAACAATAAATTATAAGAGAAATAAAAGTTACAGGGGAAGAAAGATAGTGCTGCAGTAGATTTTTCAAGAGGGAAAACCATATGCATCTGGAGTACTTCACAAAACAAATATGCTCCAAATTCATAAGTTGGGTAAAACGCAAACAGATTATCTGTTTTGTAACTATTACCATAAGCAACAACAAGTTGCCTTATTTTACCAAATGGAGTAGGTCACATGAATCACACGATGTCATTAAGCTCTATTATCATACCAACGAAAGTAAATCAGAAACCATGATGACCAAGTAAACTAATTAAGATTCAATATTTTCAACATTATTGAGACGGCTAAAAGAGTGCACTCTGTAATCGTAATCCAAACTCCCAAGTCATCGGTATAAAACTGATAACTAAAAGCAAGTGAACAGAGTACTACTACCAGCCACATTAGCACTTAGCACCCAGACTCCATTAATGCCATCTGCTCCTAAAGTTTCTCTACCATTAATTACGTAACAAGAACTATAAATTGTTCTGTGAATGAGCACAACTGCTGATCAGAAATCTCAAAAAGCCTCTACTAAAAAATTGTTTCTGAAGGGAATAAAGTTTATCAGAAATCTCAGATAAACAGATACTGGATAAAGGTTACCCGGCGTTAAATATGATAGGTGGCAGAAGGTATATAAAGAAAAGATCTTCGCTGAAAACAAGAAGATGGGAGCTTTGACCGCCCCTTATCAGCAAAATGACTACGCCGGTGCAAAGACCCTACCAGCAATTAATATAAATATTAAAAATACTGATAATAAAGATTAACGAAGATTTCATTTATCCTTAGCGTTACAGTTGTATGCATATAGCAGTTTTCGATTGAAAGCGAACACTTACAATCAAAAGGGCGGTGATGGACTCGTTCATCCATCGGTTCTCCTCAAGAAGATGGCCAATGACAATACAAGCACACAGGAGCGCCACAAATAGGTTCATGGAGACCACGGAAGCATGATCAGAAGTCATTAGCAGTTGCAGTTTCGGAAAAACGGAACTTAAATCAAAAGCCATTTCGTCCGGCCTCTACAATGAACAATCAAAGAATCAGGCAGCTCGAAACCTTCAAATTATTACTGAGTTACGAAGTTTGAATTCACTTAGAACTTGGAATTTCCAAATCTATATTTCCGAGCTGTCCATCTTAATAACCTTCGGATTTTATCGAAGTAAGCACCTGCAATTGGAAAAACGTGCACGCTTATTATCCGATGATAGAAGAGAAGATCTTACAGCCAGGACCTACTTCGAAATACGATATGCAAGTACTTGTGCAAATAAGCTTTTGCACATTTGCCAAAAACAATGCTGTTCACAACAAAATCACATAACATGGGCGGAAAATAACAAAGAACTCGAGGAAATCTCAATGTGCAGCCTAATAAGAGTCATTTTATACGCTTCTGGTAAGCTTAGACATGCAAGATCAAAGTGCCGTGAAATTCTTATACAACGAACGGCGAACAAGATTTAAACTAATAATTCGTTAGCATAGCTGCGTAACATCCAAGCAAATTGCTCACCAAAACGTCTTTTAGCAGGGTGCTAATAAAGAACATGGTGAGAGGCTTCACAGGCTTCCAATCTCTCTCCTTAAATTGGATAGACAGACAGTGCATTCACGGACTTCGAACAGAGAAAGCCAGGGAATCTATCTCCATCCGAACTCAACGCAGATTGGATGACTTTCAACTCTCTGAGGTGATTCGAGAGAAAACACCAGGACAACGAAAGCACTGGGGATGGACAACATAAAAAAGGAAGGAGAAGCTGCGAAGAATAAAATCCAACCGCACGCACGAGAAAGGTGATCGGAAGAAGTAAACAATAATTGAGAAGGAATTTTGTTGGTTCTTTTTCAGAAATCAGGTGTAAAAGAGAACGCTAGGGCAATGAAAGCTCTGGAAATGGAGAGCTAATGTAACACAATCGCGGAAAGAAGCAGAGAGAGAAATCAAGAGAAGCGCGCGTTGCGGAAGATACAGACGGAGCCAGAAGCGGGAGAGACATCAGCCATGATTGAAACAAGCCCCTCTAAACTGTAAACGCGTTCCCAGCCGTTCACTGCATAAGCAGAAGACGTGATTTTAAAATCGGACGGTGCATAGATGGCACGGCACATTTTGTCGACGAATTAATATTTGCCGTGGGGTAACATAAATTAATCACCGCCCATTGGAGGGCGCCAAACTCTAGGAACGATTAGTTCGTTCGTACATTTTAGGAATTCTGAACAAGGAATAGGATTCATATATTATTATTAATTAATATTACCTCATATCTTAATTATAAGATACAGTTAACTAATTTGAAGAGATTAAAAAAAGAAGTTAAATTAGTTATTTGTAATAAATAGGTATTGTCTTTTCTAAAATATTCTTATTAATCAACTATTTGGTTAGAACTACAATTATTAAAAGGACTATTTTGAAAAAAAATACATAAAATATGAGAGACAAAGTGGATTGAAATCTTATATTTAAGATTAAAATAAAAATCAAACAGAATTTTATATTAAAGAGCGATATAGTATGTTAAAATTTTATATTTCTTACATTCCTTAAATTTTTTATATTATATAAATGACATGCCTCCAGAGGCATACATTGTAAGAATGATGGAATCCACGTGACTGAGAATGGAAAAGGCTGAGGAATTCTGTCAGCGTCAATTGTGTGGTGTTATCTCTTTTTTTTGACCAGCAATTGTGTGGTGTTATCAGGCAAAGCATATCAAGTCATATTCATGCTGCTGCGATGTTATTTGTTTTCGTTTTTAATACGAAAACGCATCTAAGCTTCCTATATATAATAAATTGTCTTCCGTATCATCACAGAATGCCGTAATTGGCGACGAATGAACATGGCAGAAGGTCACTGATACCTACTTATCATTTAAAGTAAGATTGCGTGATCTACATTTTCTGATTTATTTTTATGTTTTATGTTGTTTTCAAATTTTGTGAGTAAGTCTTTGTTTTCTTTAAAAAACTGGAAGATTAAAGATAAGGTTGCGCGGAAACCAATAAATATGTAAAAATTTAAAAAAAAAATACATACAATATATGATTGAACCACACTACTTGCGGATAACCGAATATCAAGGCTCTCTCAAAAGATTTTGCATTACATAAAATAATTAAATATAAAAAGCTACAAAATATGAAAAAATCTATTAACATTTACTGTAGCGCGGCTTCCCATCAGAAAAAAGTTGCCCACCAAAAAATCAACAAAAAAAGTTATTTCGGGTATATTAAATAAATAAATAAATTATAATTAGATATTCTATGTTGCACAGATAATAACTTAAAAATTTACTGGATATTATACTCATTTTTAATATTTTCATGAAGCGTGCTTATTTTTATTATTTAGAGTCTGTAGAAATAGGTAAAAAGATATATCGGAAGAATAGCTCAAAAACTGTTATTTTTTTCAACACAAGAATTATCCTGTTCATGACTTAAAAAAATCAGCTCTGAGTGAATTAAATATAAGGTTCAAATTATCATAAAATTAAAAAAATCAATTCAATTAATTGATAGCGTAAAACGTTTTTCTGGGCGGACCGGAGCTGATAGTGGCCTAACGTTAAGCCTAAAAATAAGAGCGCCTGGCCTTGGGCTTCCTTATTTTAATAGTTTGACTTTGAATATGTCGGTTGGTTTTCTCATTTTAATATTCCAGTCTTTAATATAAAAGTTAATTTTAGTTTTAAATATAAGACATATTTTTTATATTTATTAATTTCTTTAAAATTATTCTTATGAATATTCTCTCAACCATAATTAATTAGAAGAAAGAGAGAGGATATTAAGGAAGATGATTATGATGTTTTAAGAAAAGCAGGTCATATTTCTTATAATTAACTAACTTACCTAACTCTCTTAATCTAATTAAATTAGTTAAATAAATCTTATATTACCTCCAGTCCTTAATATAAGACCTCGTTTGATTTTTATTTTGATTCTAATTATAAGATCCCAATCTATTTTGCCTCTTATATTTATGTATTTTTTCTAAAGTAATCGCTCTAATAATGACAGTTCTAACTAATAAACTTGATTAGTAAGAATATTTTAAGAAAGATAACATATTTATTATAAATAACTAATTTAATTTACTTTTTTAATCTCCTTAAATTAATTAATTAATTAGTTTTTATAATTAGAATCGTAAACAGTATTAAAGACAGGAGGAGTGCCAGATATCTTATCTCGGTGGCCCAGGTTACTACAATATGGCACGTATTCGGTATTCCAATGTCACTGTCCCGCATCCAAACCACCTGTAACAGTAACTTTTGTATATTTTTGGGTAGATGGAACTAGGGGTGAGCAAAACTGAACCGTAACTGAAAATCGAACCGAACCGAACCGAATTTAATTTTGATTTTTCTGTTCGGTTATTTCGGTTTTTGGTTACATATTCAGTTTTTATTTTTGTAATAATTCGGTTTCGGTGTTCGGTTCGGTTAGTAGAAAAAAATTCGGTTATAACCGGAAAAAACTGAAATGAATATATTATATATTTATATTTAATAAATATTATTATAATAAATATATATGGGTTTATGTGAACTCTTTAAATATATCTATATTCAATAAATATGGTTATAATAAATATTATTGTAATAAATTACATTAAATGATGAAATGTTTATTAATTAATGGTTGTAATTGTGTTTTATTATTATTAATTTAAAATCACTTTCATATTTATATATTTCAGTTAATCCGTTAACCGAACCGAAATAATTCGGTTATCGGTTATCGGTTCGGTGTTTAAAATTTGCTCTATTCAGTTATTCGGTTATCACTGATAATCGAACCGAAAAACCGAATACTCACCACTAGATGGAACAGTAACTCTTGTACTTTTGGGGCATAAACTGTCGTTCCTTTTTATCGAGTAATATGACCATCCATTTACTTTGCCTTTTCAATTTTCACCCCGTCAAATATAAAAATAGTAGGGAGAATCACCAAGAAAAAAACTCTGAAAGTTACAAAATTTTAAATCAAGACACTCTAATAAATTTTGACAACAATTAAATTGTAAATAATAACATATTTTTATAAAAAAAAATCTGCAATGAGATTTTACAATTTTAGGGATATTTTGTCATTCTCCGAAAATAATAACAACTTAAAGTGACTTTTTTTTTTTTTAACCAAAGTGACTTCTATTTTTTTTACTGTCTCTCTCCTTTTTATAAGTAACCTTAAACTCTATCATGTATATCAAAAAGTTATTAAAAATAATAAGTAAAAATCAAAAATTATTTCTCTAAAATACACTTATTTGTAGAGAAAACAGGAAGTATAAGAAAGAGAATTAAAAAATTATTATAATAAAAAATTATGAAAGAGAATATGTACGAATAGAGATAATAATTTCAAAAATAAGATAATAAACATATTAAGTATTAAAAATAAGTAATTAATGGAAACAAAATAAAAAATTTATTATAAAAATCTAAAACAACTTGTAAATATTATTTATATTTAGAAATAGAAGGATAATGATAATTGTTACGCGTAAAAAAAGAGAGGGAGAAGAATATGGCCCCCACAAATGGCGACGTACTATGATCCTTGGATCAGTTTTTTTTTTTTTGTTTAATTAACCAAAACATTATTTTCACTCAACTTTTGTGTTTTCCTGGATCAGAAACTAAACTCAAACCTTGGAATGAAATATTTATTTATATTCATCATATATCAAACACAGTTACTTTTTTTTTTTTTTTGCCAGCAATCAATCACAATTACTTTGCTTCATCAAGAACTTGCGTGATAAATATTTCAACGCTATCAAGGCCAGAAGACCGTTTAACCTCAAATCCCGGGGGGAAGGACACGAAATATTTGGTCCTCAGTGATCCCACGCCACGCCCCTTTGGATAACAGATCAGGTGCGGCTCAACAACTACAAACCTTCTACGGCCGTTAATTACACTGTCCACCTCAACATATTGTCTTCTGCTAATGCTACAAAAAAATGATGAAAATAAAAAGGAATCACAATCACAGACGATTATAGAATTCAGGCAAAATTTTGCAGGAGTAGGATACACTCGAAAATGTTATATAAAATTTATTAAACAGGCCACAACTGCCAACTGTGGTTCCAGTATGAGAAATATAACTATACATATTACAAATAAAGAATTTAACCTGATTTCTGTGTTCCTATGAGCCAAGAGAGGAAGGACGCAAAATCTCGCACTTCCCACTCGTTTTCATACTTTTATAAGTTAAAGGGGTTTTCAGCCTCCAAAGTTTAGCAAGAAACTCCTCACTCAACAAGAGCCCGTTTCTGTACACACCCTATCATAAGCTCAGATTGATATTACAAAATAGCCGCCAGTCCCACAGCATCCTCATCGCCAACTTTGTATTCAGGAACATTAGACGAGCTGCGCGGTCTCGCTGAATGATAAGCAAAAGAGCTTAGAAGTTGAATATAGCCAGTAAAAGTAGATATCGCAGATCCTAGACTCAGGCAACCTTAACCCATCTTTTAACGAAGCCTAGTCTCAATACCTGGCTACAAATTGAGAAACGTTGTGGCGTGATCATTTAAATTTAAGAAATTATTACATTGAGCCAGGCCTACTTTCCAGAGGTAAAAAAAATGTACGAAGACAAGTAATTAAAAAAAAAAAAAAAGGTAATCACTCACTTGAAACATTTGTGATGACATTCACACTTTTCTGAGCTGCAAGCGCTTTCAATTTGTTTCCAGTTGCTAACAGAAGCAGGCTTTTCATATGTTGTTTCTGTTCCTTTGGACTGGCTGTTTTTGTTAAAGCTTCTTCAAAAGCAAGCAAATCATGGGGTGTGATCGAGGGGAGAGACAACAAAACCTGAAAAGAGTAAGGAAATGTTCATTTCTCTTATCTGCAAATATATACTAAACCCCAAAGGTAGCATGAGAAGAACAAACTAACCTGTCTGGGAGCCGGATGTCTATCGCAGAGATACACAAATATTTCCCGACAGAGGCCGACTAACTCAGAACTAATTATAGCATTTGACTCAAGGGCTAAACCCTTAATAATGGAAGTAAAAAGATCTCTAGCAACAAATTCTACAAGTTCTGTACAATTTGTCCATATTGATATAACTATCAACACAGAACAATACGAGGAAACTTTTGTCACAGCTTCACTATCAGTCCATGTAAAAGCTTCTAAGCATATATGCAGCATTGGCAGTGCTAAGCCTTTATGCTTCAGAAGGTAACTGTCAAATACAAAACTTGTGAGAAAAAAATAAGCCAGCAAACTAACATTGCAAAATGCAAATGCAACAAGTTTCATAACAAGAAAACATACCCAACCATAGAGCCTGATGCAACTGAATCCAAGCTTTTCAGAGAAGAAGTGTCTAAACGACTGACATGCCCAGACTGCTCTAAAGAAGGGAGTCCACCATTAAGTGGTGGAGAAGCAATAACGGAGAGGAGCAAACACATCTCACGTGTGAGATCCCTGAGAAGTTTTTCCTCCATCACTTCTACTTTCAAGTCTGATCCAGCGAGAATGCTGTGAACATCTGGAACCTTTGCTCTACCATCTTGCAGAAGACTAGACCATGAACAGCTGAGAGCCTGCTGAGCGAAGATAAATAATGGGTGCAACAGCTTTTCCAGCCAAATCTCCCACATATCTGGAGGACAATGTTTAACTAAAGGAATCAAAATAGAGTGAACGAGCTGCCTTATATGCCTGAACTCCATTGACTGTATATTCTCCATCAAGGCAACAGCAACAGTGTGCACATCAGAAATTTTGAAAAACATATCTCCAATAGTTGTCGACAAGCCCAGTACGTTATATCTATCAATAAAAATCAAGGATTTAGAACCACAACAGTAATGTACATAATGAACAATAACAGATGAATAAGTTTCTTCTCATGCATGCTTACCCACTGTCCCTGATTCCTTTCAACCAATTTCGTATATCAGATTCATTTGGTTCTGCGTGTCCTTCCTTATTCATATTGACCTGAGATCCATCCATGAAAGCCAAAGCACCTTTTGACAATTTCGGGTTTCCTTCTCCTAGAAGACTGAATCTCTCAACATCACTCATGCTCATTGCAGCTTTGACTTCCACAGGTAACATTTGGTATATGGATGGAGACCAGAGAGAATGTATAGCACGGAGAAGCTGGAAAAATCAAATATGCTAGAATTAATACTTAGAACGGAAAGAACATAGATAAGATCAAAACCAAGCGTGATCCTTTTACTTCCAATTGCATAAGTTTTACATGATCAGTGTCTCAAGGGCAGTACACATACTTTTAAGAGAGGAGGCAGCATCCATAACATATGAGAAGCCATTGGGTTTGAAGAAGTGGAATTTGGTGTCGAGCTATTTTCTGAATTCCAATAAGCTTTCTTCATGCCACTCCTCTTAAGTGCCTTCTCAAAGAATGTCACAGTATGAAAAATTGACCACATCACCGGTGCTTCTGAGCACAAGCGAATTAACCCTGGTGGATCAGATAAATATTTCTCCTGCCATTCTGATTGTGTCCACTGTTGGCTCAAAGGTTCTAATAGCCAGGCTAATACTTCCTGTTGTTGTTGAAACCTGTGCCAAATTAAGAAATAACTAGTAAGGAAAGGTACAACAGATATACTATACAGAGTTATCGGTTGATGATTACCCAGCAGCAGAAGCCATAACAAGAAAAGCTTCACCCAGAAGATTATGCTCTCCCTGAAGCAAACGGCCCTCCTTTTGCAAACAGGCCATGGTATCAGCAATGCCCTGCAACAAAATATAATAGTCAAAATATATATATATATATATAATTTCACAAACTATAACCCAGGCCTTGGGCACATTAACTTGACAGTATCTTGAGTGTATAAAGTGAAACCCACTGTGGTGACTGGTGAGAAACAAAGCTATACCAACTGTAAAAGCAGTTAAGTTTAACATAGATAATAAAATGGACACACTGTGAAAGATGTTCTTGAACATACAATTGGGAAGATGAAACTCCTGGACATCTAAGATAAAAATAGTTTGGAGTTAATAAAAGAAATGTATTTATATATTGTACATTGGAAATGAAAAGAAAGAAAACAAAAAATGAAAAAAATTAAGGATAAGCGAAGCATAATTGATTAAAATTGATTTCAGAATCAATCTTATCGTGAAAGACGAGACATTAAATTTTCAATTTTAATACATACATTGCAAAACAGATGCTTTTGCCTGTTTCAAATTATGTTTATATAAAGTCCAGCTAATTCAGCAATACTCCTGAAGGAGCTGATCTCTCATGATAACTTAGTCTTAGAAGAAATTTATTCAAAAATTGATCAAGATTAATAAATTTCCATACAGCCTTTTTCCTCCTGTTGTTCTATTTAGTTTCAGCGCCAGAAACACAAAAGCCAATTCCCATTCATTTAGCATTTCTCTGCCATGCTTAGCAAACAGCTAACAAAATAAACAATGTACCTTCATGTGAGGCAGAATGCTTTTGTCAGCAGCTTTTGCTATCCGAATAAATGACGTACAAATCTGTAACCTTGCATGACGTGCACTAAATGTCGAAGTATCCTATCAAGAGGAACATAGTCTCAACCAGCAAGCCTAAGTAGTTTCTCAGTAATTAAAATTAAAAGTATAGTTGGAAAGGAGATTGTCCAGGGAACCTTGATGACAAAAGGAAGGGAAGTAAGAAGCTCAAATAGTTTATTGATAACGCTCCCAACCGCATCTGGAAAATACTTCAAAAATGGACCCATAGCATCCAGATAGTGACCAAGTACTTCCACAAGGGCAGGCTCCGTCCATTTTATAGAAAGAAGTTGCCGAAGTAAGCCTTCATGGCAAATAACCAGAATTATTAAGGACTTAAGCAAACGTAAATACAGCAATAACTCATGGAAAATTCTAGGAAAAAAACCTTCAAATATACTACAAACTGTAAGCTGAACTTCAGCATATGCCTTGGCAAATTCATTGGAACCATCAAAAACTGCATTAACAACATTCTCCAAAGACAACTGCATGCTTTCCATCACAGCTAAGTCCTGATGTAAGAAAAGCAGAACCCATGATCAGCAATTATAACATATGCATGAAATGAAGCTGCAAGAAATTAAAACATTAACAATCATCCTATTGAGAAGCTGAATATTCATTTAAACCTGAGCCGGTGCTGATGAATGCAACAGGTTCATGATAATCGCATTAATCTTTTCCGAAACTTTAGTAGCAGCCATCAGAGGTTTGTAAGATGAAATAAACCTAATCAGCTCCAACTGTTATGAGGACATATTCACCAGTAATAAATATTTAGAAACGATGAAGTTGAATGAAAAAGAATGGGATGGTAACAAGAAAAGATCAAAAGAGTAAACATATTCGCAGTAATAATGCTTATAGTAACACCTGCATTGACCAAAATTTCAATCATTTGCATTTGCATTTATACTATACATTGATCTCTCCTTTATTGTGTACCACACCCCCTTTCTTAAAACGTGCTGGATTGGATGTCTAGAATTGAAAGTCAAATGTTCAGTTTCAATTTCACAATTTTCCCTACCTTATTTTCTACTTTTTAAAGTTTTTCACATTTAAGAAACTGTGAGCTTTCTGATACCTCATGAACTAGGAATCTCCTTTAAATATACAAAAATAGAAGTTTCCTTGGCATTAGCATAAGGTCAAACATTGAGAGCAGAAAGGCATAAACATGTAAGTTCCAAATGTGTAGTGTGAATGCAACCGCAAACTACCAAAACCTCAGCCTCTCATCACCAAGCCACACCTAGTGGCTTTCAGCCTTTCAATTCCTTCTATAACAAGTAAAGAATAATCTCCCAATTAGCGTGCTACATAGAACGGGTGGACTATGTGACATCATCAATGATGATTTCAACATTGTAAGACAGATCATCTTGACAAAGTACCAAATAATGGATCACTACATTCACATAATCCATCCCCTCCCTGGGAAGTCATATTAGAATGCTTATACATATATGCATGTAAAGCATACCAGCCTGGACCGGTATTGACTGAATTCACCCTTGCCTTCAAAACCATCACTCCACAACTCCAATACGCCTAAGGAAACTGCAGTTTCAGGAAGAAGCTTTTCTTTCTTGAGCATGCGAGGGAAAGACGTATCCAAAATTGCACCACAAAAATTGTCATTCACTAAACTTAGAATCTTTTTCTTCGCATTTTCACCCTCTCCAGAGCCACCGGTAGCTGAACTATCTGCAGCAGAGTTTACAGAGTTCTTTGGTTTTGACATTAAATCTCTCATCAGCACCTATAAGTAAACATTCACGGAAAGAAAAGAGATAATCACTTGATATGCAGCATTGACTATGAAACAACTTCAGAAATTGCTCTCACAGAAATATTCAAACTTACCAGCCAAAAGTGCAGGGATGGGAAATGAATAGCAAACTTGAAATGTCGAAAATATCCCAGCATCTGGTGGGTCCAAGGAAAAGAAAAGGCAAAACAAGACTTAAACTGCATTTCAACATCTCAAATATACTTTTTTGGTCAAAACATCTCAAATATACTTTAACGAGGAAAACACAGAGAATCGGAACCAACAAGTTTCACATTCCCAGAAAGTGGATGCATAGGAGAATAAACTTGTTTTGGTTTCATCATAGTACTAAGAAACCAAGAAAATTTGTCATCTATAATTTTGCTTCATATATATATATATACACACACTGACGTAAAACCATATAGATATATGCATGGGTTCAGATTTAAATAAAAATGCACATGACAAAATTGTCAGAGACATGAACCAAAACCCCACTGACTTGCATTATGCATGTTCAGACTTAAAGAGAATAGTCACACTGCATACACCACTCATAGATCACAAAAGCCTGATGTAGGTGGAAGGGTAGGAAGAGGGGGGGGGGGGAGAAAGAGGAAACAAAGGAGAATAGGAGAAATCAGATTCGATTAACTGTCAATACACAACAACAAAAGATAATCAGGGTGCCTAACGGTCAAGTCACGTATATCAAAATCATAACCATCATAGCTAATCAACGAACTCGTACTCCCTATCATATTTACACAATAAAGCCAAAGTACGTACTCATCAACATATTATTCTTCATATCACTCTGTGGTCAAGTGATATAAAGACTAGAGCATGGATTGGAAGGGAAGGGTAACATGTGAACAACAATCATAGCAAGGCAGAACCGGGCCCAGTGTTCTTTCAAAGAAGCCTGCCCCAGGAGGCGTCTCTATAGGCAGTTGATCAAGGAATTTCAAGGACAGATATGACAATGAGAAACCATTAACTTATGATGCATGTAAAAGATGACCAGGACGAATTTGGGCGATATACAAGAATCAGGTTTCAAGCTGATTTGAGCAAATTCTGTTTTCAAAGTCCTGCAGTTGAAGCCTTCTTTTTTCACCTGGGAATTCTTCTATTATCCTAGCTGCTTAAATAAATGTGATTACAAAACCTAATTACCTGTTCTAGGTAAAGAGGAAGTATGGTGGTATCTCCAGCAATACTTTGCAAGTTTGACGAACCCAATGACACCATACTTTCACAAATATATTCTGCAAATTCATAGTCACCCTCATCTAGGGCATCAGGACTTGATTCAGATCTGTACAAAAATTCTCTCGATATGTTCATCAAGATCTGGAAGATGCTGTTCATAGCGTAGTCAAACTCAGAAGCAGATGTGTCAGCAGGTCTCCTCCTACAATCACAATAGAAAGTAATTCACTGAACCATTAATCAATGGAAAATAAAGTAATAGCATGCATTAATTATCTCGGGAACTATATTGCATACCTTGGGGAAATTAGCTTAAAAAACTCACAAGCATGAAGACGAAAATCTGGAGCAGAAAGAAGGAAGCCACAACTGTTTGGCAGTTGACAGGTATACAAATTATTCATCAAGACCAATGAATTAAGTCAGGGAATAAGGAAAAGAAAGACACATACCCGTTAATGATGCCGTGCTTAGCAAGATCAGGCAAAGGAGCCCACTCAGCATACGCATTTATAGCATTGAGAGTAGCTGTTACTGTAGCAGCGTGCTGTTTTGCACTGTCCATCTGCTGTCTACCTGCTTCTTCAATAGCAGCTCCATAGTGCTTTTCTAATAACTGCAACAAGCATGAAAACGTCAAAAATAATACTTTAAAAGATAATATGTTACGAGATTAAGGGATGAGATGTACATTATACAACAGAGGCAAAATTTCAGGCAGAGATTGTGTTAACCCACGCAAGAGTAGCCTTCGACGGTCACCTGAATACAACAATATGCATGTGAGAAAGGAGCACAGCATTTCATATACGGAGAAGTATCTTAAGAACCAAAATAACGTTGTAGAGGTTGGGGTGCATAAAGGACACATGGAGAGCACTTCCACACATCAAACTATTGTGTCCTTTTATTTTGTAGTAATCTGGAACTTAATAATATTGAGCGTCCAAATTTTTCACTCATTATGCAGCAACCAAAACACACGTATATCTAAAAGAGCAAACTAAAAGCAGTCCAGTACGGACCTTCCAAGTCTTCATTGTGAACTGTGATGTCTTCAGGAAGCCACCGAAGCATCATTGAAACCAACTCAGCCTGATGCGTAATTGAAAAACATTGAAAAATTGTTAGTGCAAGAAGAAATAAAGTCAAGCCCAATATTAGTAAATGCTGCAAGTAGGGTAACATGGGATGTACTTGAATAGGACCATTGCCAGATAAAGAAATCAGTGATGGAAACAATTCTTGCCATAGATTAAGGCCCTCCCTTCTAATTATCTGTAAAACAATCACCAAATGTAGTTTTTTGACAGCAAAACTACAAATTATGATAAAATAGCAATACAAATGAAATCGAGAGCATTATGATGAAAACCTCAGCAACAAGGGCAGCAGTCTGGCTTTTAAGTGCCCATTCTTCACAAGGATCAGCAATCTCAGACATCAAATCAACAGAAAGATTTGCAAAGTTCTTACGCTCAGAAGGGCTTAATTCATCCCACCTTAATCGCACCAAATGCTGTAAATGGAAATAGATCATACACCAACAAAGTGATAAGTAATAAAAATAGAGCGTAAAAATGAGAAGCAAAATAAATTCCCTGCAGCAAAGAAGGGGAAGTGGCACCTGCAGCATTTTAAAAGCATGCAGCCGAATTTCAGATGACCAATCCTTTTTTACCAAAAGAAATGAAGTGTTTGCCAAAATCCGCAAGTCACCTGATTTGATCTGAAGAAATGGAAGATATGCTAATGAGTGAACAGTAAATTGACAGAAGTATGGTTATACAGAAGTATGGTTATTCAACAACTCAAACTGCTACTAGCACTAGCCACTAGGTTCCACACTAGCGATAAGAAAATTAAAAACAACATGAAATAATTAAAATAAACAATCTTCTTCCAAAATACTGTATCAAGTAAAATTTGGGACCAAGTAAGTTGGTTCTTTCACTAAGATTTGTTGTATGCAAAATCTCCGTTCTCCATATTTTCTTTGGTACAAAATTATAACTAGTATTCATTACTGTCCAAAATTTTATATATTTCTTTTCACAGAAACAAAGAAATTATGTTCTGTAGAGCATCGAGAGGAGATTTAAAAAGATGGTATATCCTTTTATGGTGAACAAAAACTCATTACATAAAAAAGACACCATTAATCCTGGAAAAAAGTTTTTTTTTTTTTTTAAAAAAAAACCTAATAATTAGATAAGAATTTATGCAGAAAAGCTTGAGGACCTGATTGATACTCCTCAAACTAGAGAAGAATAGCTCCTCTGCCACAGCTTATTGAGCTATAAGTTTAAAGTTAGAGAAGCATATCTGCAAGCTGTTACCAATTGTATTCAATTGAAGCAGCACAATCTAACATAAGACTGGCAATATACACGGCTGTTCTTCTAGCAAGCCAGAAAATGATATAGTGGAAAATTTTATGCCTATGAACTCGGACTCGTTGCTAACTGATACATTTTTCCTTTTCTTTCTTGCGGCTTGTCAGTCACCGAACAAGCATGGTTACCGTATGCTAATTAAGGTTTCTTGTGCTTGGAGTATCCAACAATGCGTCAAAAATTAATAATGCAGCCGAGAAATCTAAAACTCCGTGCTCCTTGACCAATGGAAACCGCAGAATGAAAGTTCAAAACTTGATTGATCGCATAATAGTTCTAAAGTTATCATACCCAACCACAAATACTACAAGTGTTTATGCGAACTAGTTATGAATGGCTACTAAATTTTGAGATCTCCTATAAAACCATTGGGCGTGCTTCCGTTTTTCAACCAGAAAATTATTTTTAAGAAAAACTTGCCCTATGCATGCAGAGGAGAACAGATACAGAAAGAGAATAGAGAGGAAAGTACAGATTCGAGAAAAGAGACAGCGGCTTTTCGAGCGTCGGGAGTGGAACTCCAGTCCAGGGCAGTTGCTATGGCGCGAGCCACATTGTTAGCAGACATAGTGTTAGTGTCTTCCATCAGAAACAACTTGGTTTGCGAATCTCAGACCGGCTTGTCTCTCAGCCTAAGGTTTTGTTGTCAAATAAATTCTGGAGAGAGAAAGACACTGAGACAGAGAGAGATTCGCTTTGGACTAGAATCGGTTGAGTGTTAAGGTGGTGTTCGTGTTCTTGGCTTATTGCCTTTGCGGAGCGAGGATGATCCTGCCCTGCGTTTTATACTTTGTTTACCCCATCGCGCTAAAATAAAGTAATATCTTTCTTCTTCTTCTTCTTCTTTTTTTTCGGGCGAGTGCAAAACATAACTAGCAAAATATTTTTTTTAAAAAAAACTATTCATGAATCGTAATCAGCGCCACTGATTTTGTAAATTTAGATTTAAAACAATAAATTTAAATTGTATCCAATAGATTAAAAATTGTGACCATACCTGCAATTAATGTGAGTATTTTTTATCTCTAGAGTAGGATTTACGACTCAAATTAAAACCATGAAACAAGTAGCTAGTAAATTAAAAAATAAGTCCAGCTATTAATAATTTGTAAATAATGTAATTTTTTGCCAAAGTTTATATCATGATATGTATCATTAATGATAGATTTATTAATAATCAGTGACTTCAATCTACAACCCTGCCGTTGGCCAAAAGAAAAATTGCCCCGTTCTAAATCTAAATTATTAATATATAACGTTAATGCCTGTTTGATATGAGAAAAATATATGGGAGAAAATTTTTTGATGAACTTGATTTAAAAAACTGAAAAAATAGGATTAAAAGTTTTTAATTAATTTTTATTCTCTTTTATCTTACATATTATTTTTATTAAAATTTTAAAATCTGATTTTTCTAATTTTTTAAATTGAACTTTATTAAAAAATTCTACCGCCTTTCATGTCCTTATACCTGTGTATATAAGATAAATGTTAAGTCTACTACTCCGTTCCTAATTATAAGAACATTTTGGCCAAATTACGCTTTTTAAGAAAACAGTTAAAATTAGTTAAAAGTAATTAATATGTAAGAAATGTAATTTTTTTCAAATATACCCCTAATAAATGTAAGAGAGTAATAATAAGATAAATAGAGAGAGAATTATATAAGAATTTATTAGGGGTAAAATAGGCAACAATGCATTAAATGTTCAGACAAACTCAAATGGGACCTTATAAAAAGAAATAAATCTATTCAAACAAAGGGATTTTATAATTAGGAACGGAGGAAGTACCCTTAAAATGCCACATGCTGCCTCCAGTTTTTTCTTTTTTTAAAAAAAAAACAGGACAACAACAATTGCATCCGGAATTAGGGCTTGGATATGTAAACAAGATCAAATAACGTTATCCAATCCTGATAATTCGGACTTACGAATTGGTTCGTAAGCTGGAATTATTAAAATCTTTTTAATTTTTTTAAAAAAGTTGAGACATATTTCACGTTTACTCATTTACATTAATTTTAATATGATGATAACCGCACCATCATGATTTCATGAGAAGAATTTTGACTGTGACTAGGATTATTTTGAGTTTTTAAGGTGAGGCAGCCAAAAAAAAAACCCCCATATAAAAAAAATCAAACGCGGGTACTCAATTTTTTCGAACATATTCAGGCTAGCTTAAAAAGCTTGATTATCGGAAAAATTTAAGGCCTGTTTGTTTTTGTTCATTGTTTTCTCATTCTCAAAAAAATTTTATAAATTGTTTTTTAGAACAAGTTTAGGAAACAAAAAAAAATTATTTGGATAATAATTTTTAAAAAATCACATTTGAATAGAAAAATAAAAAAATCACACTTTACAGGTAGTAGTTGTCACTGATAATAATAGATAGTAGTAATAAGTGAGAAGAGAAGAATTTTTTTTTTAATTTTTCAAAACAAAAAAACATATAAAAGTTGTTCTCGTTTTTTAGTTTTTAAAAACATGTTACTGTTTTTTGTTTTTTAAAACAATTAACTAAAAGCAAATTACTAAAAAAAAAATTTTTTTTTAAAAATAAATTTTTTTTTTCAAAACAAGAAATCAAACAAACAGGTTTTCCTGAGGCAACGCTAAAATTATCAAATTTATTAAGGCCCCATTTGGGTGACACCCCAAACCATGGTTTGGGTGATAAGTCACCCAAACACCCACTGGTTTTGGGCAAACTGTGGTTTTGGCTCCAAAACCATGATTTTGGAAAAAGCAGAAATTTTTTGCTTTTGAAGAAAAAAGGGAGAGTGTGAGAGCTTATAGGATATGTATCTTGTTATTTTTTTTATAAACATATTTTTTTATAAACATATTTAATCTTATATTTTAAAAATATATATACATATTAATTATTTATTAATTATATTATCTTATGTATTATTAATTATGTTAATAAAAAATATATTATTAACAATTTTATTCCTTCAAATTAAAATATATCATAAAATTTATTTTTTCTGTAATTATCATATTAACTTATGTCTTTTTTTTAGTAATTTGTATATATAAAAAGTGCTTCTGATAACAACTATCCAAACACTCTCACTTCTCAAAATCACTTTTTCATAACATTTATTCTTTCCAAAATCTATTCTTCCCAGAATCTATTCTCCAGAATCACTTTTTCAAACCACGGTTTGATTTCATCCAAACACACCCTAAGACATACCCGTCAACTTAGCTCAAATTGCCGACTCTAGAATGACCGCGCTCATAGCCAAAAATCAAAGGGTAGGGTTTTAATTGGAGAGGAAACACCTCGGCCTTTAATGCCGACAAGAATTCGCAACTGTGGCTTTGGTTAAAGTCACATGCTGAGTGCCAGAAAAATATTATATTGAAATAACCACCCATGTTAGAACCCCAATCAATGAAGACGAAGGTATTTGCCGAGGACTGCATATAGCTTGCCATCATTAGGCCAAAAACCTACATCTAGAAATTGCATTCCACCATGTTTGGCATCTTCCCCACAACCACTGCGGCACTACCCATGATCTAGGCGCAGAGTAATGTTCGGCGCAGTGCCGCCAATATATATATATATATATATATATATGTATATGTATGTATATATAAAGAGAGTGTTGTGTTTTTGTCGTGCCCATTAACGCGATCACACATATTTTAAGAAGCTTTTAACTCGCCAGATTTGAATAACGTGAAAGATGAATTTAATGAAAAACATTAAGATAAAAATACGCAAAATTAAAAAAAGTATTAAGTTTCCACACATGCACGTCACACGCACTAGCAACAATGAATTGTTTGAAATAACTTATAAATAACTTTTTAATCATAATTTACAAAATACTAGATAAATATGTGAAAAAAATTGTCTAAATTAGGAATTACTGAATATTGTTAAATAACTAAATGCCCCTCTTTAGTTAAAAATAAAAATTGATATTTTATCCCTCTAAAGTGGTTCTTCATCTCTTATTATTAATATTTAGTTAAATTAATCAGGACATAAGACCTAATTTATGATCTTACATTGATAATTAAATTTTAAAATAAGTAATCTTTAAATAAATATTTTTTTCAGGTTGTAAATGATTCGCAAATCCTCCAGACGTAGAGCGCACAGGGCCTTGAACCCAAATACATTACCCACAATGGAAGTAAACATGTAACACTTACGAAAAACATGCTCATAATTATGTGTCGCGTTTGAAGTTAAAATGAGTGGGAAAAGGAAAAGGGATTGACCTCCTAAGGAGAGCCTTTTTTTTTTTTTTTTTGGTTACATAAGGAGAGCCGTTAACACAACCAATATCAACATTCGTCAATCAACTATAAACACTATGTTCACTGATATGACTGTTAGTTGGTTTTTTCTTCCTATTTTTCCTTTGAACAATAAATTTTCATATACATTCTCGTTTCTAATTCGTGACAAATTATCAATCTAATCACCACTAGATCGTACACAATTTGTAAACAGAGTATAGAGAACAATGTTCGTCTTCTCATCTTCACCACGCACGCTCCACAATACAAATCGGATTTCGAGTTGTTTGAAGAGCGTTATAGTTGACCTGATCTCTGTGTCAAAAACTGCAACCATGGGTCACTTGGTGAAGCTAAAACTTCGGGAGACAAATAAGAACCCCAACTCGAACATTATACTCCGATACTTTCTGGGATGACAGTATCGTCCTCAAGGATTTTGGGTGCAGGGTTTGAAGAAACCGACCCCCATTTCAGTGTTCATCTGTAGCACCAGAGCGCTACCTTTCTAACGGACTAAGGACAAAACAGTATCTCAAGGATTTATCTCCACCAACTTCCTTAAAAAGTACTCCGATATTAACACGTGGAACTCACTAGAAATGATATGATCGCTATGTACATCATATAGGAATTTGTTCACTCTATCAACAAATTGAACATAGAAGAGCGGATATAAATCCATATAAAGCAATATACAAAAAAGTAGATAAATAGGAGAAAGAAAAGGGTGTGGTTGGGAAAAAAAGATTTTACCCTTGCACTTGAGTTAAGCAACACTCCATTCTGGAAGCAGGCAAGCAACGGGCCTGATGACAGGTCAGATTTGGCGCCTTTTGGACTCCAACTCAAATATGGCAGCAAAGACGAGGAAATTTCTTGACTTGATTCTATACAATGCAATGAATATAACTAAGCTACGAATTTCTTGCCTTTAACGTTTATCCTTGAGGGCATTTGTACGTTGTTTTGATAAATCCACCGCATCACCAGGATAAGCGTGTTTCTTCTGCTTGGGCGCCGCAATGGGGCCTGACCAAGCTTGGAATGGTTCTTTTGAATAGGTAAATGAAGTTGAACTGAAAGAGACATCAGGAGGAACGACATTTGAATCAATGTGACGTGAAGATCCCAAAGGAAAGCCAAGTTGTCCATCTTGATGAGGTGGTGGGAACTTCTCACTCTTGCTCGTCGCATTTGCACGAGTTATTAGACGCCTTCTCTGTTACACAGAAAAATTGTAGGAACAAAAATAATAATCAGTGTATTTTTCACTGAAAGTTACGAGCACGTGCTCTCTCGCAGATACAAAATGAACCAGTCAAATTAACTCCAAAAGAGAAACAGATATGATTGATAAGAAAGAGATGAAGAAGGATAATGCATTTGTTATTTAGGCCCACAAGAAGCAATATGATAATTTTAATTTTAAATATGTCTAGCCTAGTGTTAATTAAAAAACTTGAACGATTATCCATAGTAGTAAAAAACTTGAACGATTATCCATAGTAGTAAACATACATCAATATTGGATTGAAGCTCAGCATTGGCTTCAGGAGCAGGATTAGGTTTAGCTCGATTACGTGTTCGGAGTTTCTTTGAGCCATCAACCTGACCTCTGCCTGCAGCTCGTTGTCTGAAATCCATATTGACAAATTATCTCAGATTTGGTCAGATATTACCAGATGGCATGATCATAACTGGAAGAAAAACAGAGAAAAAGGCACAGCTTTCTATAAGCCCATGTCTGTGAATGTTATGTATGTGTGGTGATGATTTTGGTAGGACAGGATCTCTAAGTATCACTTCGATAACGTGGGATATTCTATGGGGTATTTAAGTGGGGCGATTCTCCCCCCTCAATAACTAGCCTTCAGAGGAGTATTCTCCATCCCACTTCAGTACATATCAATTGGAATCAAAACTAGTAGTTGATAGTTTAGGAAAAAGCTGCCTGCAAAGGATTCTAATTGGCAAGGAATTCAAGTAAATTGTCATTGAGTGAATGTAATAATGTGTAATGATTCGGACATTGACCCTCCAAAAGGTACCAACTGTAGGAGACTAAGGGAGTATGGAATGCTTATACATCAAGTAGCATGGGGTGGGGGTGATTCTCTCACCTCTATCACAAACTTTTGGGAGAGAATTCCCCATTCCACTTAAGAACTCATAAATATGACTCTTATGAATGTGTTATATGTGGATGGGCTACTCAACTAGCCAAAGAAACTAAGAAACAGAGCAGTCTCCCTCTATCTACTCACCTTAAGTGATGCGCACCAATCACAGAGCTTAAAGATTGCACATGAAAAACATAACTTATATGCAGGAAGCAAATGTAAGAGCACACATACCTCCTTGCTTCATCATCTCGTCGTTTAGCGTCCATTTCCTTGCTTGGTGGATATTTGGGAAGACTAGAAGGATCACAGGCATAAGGTTCTGTGGTGAAGAACTGCAAAATGATAGGAAAACCAAGCAAATGGTACATGAGTTTGACTCATCGAAGATCATCAATGCTTATTATGGATACTGTCTACATCAGATATAAGGCAAGTTTTACTTAGTAGGTTCCTGCACTTGTTACATAGCTATATGAACCATGTCATCAGGGAACTAAATTTAACTCTAATTCTAATTTGCAGTAAAACACCACAGAGAGAAATGACTTCCAAGATAATCCACATAACAAGAACGCCGGAGTGTTTGCACGCTTTACCATAATAGCCAAAGCCCAGGAAAGGCACAGAATCAAGCTCATAAAGATTGCAATTAATTTTCCTCTGAAACTAATTCAGGATTTCCAACACATTGTCTAAGATACGTCCAAGACACAGAAGCTCAAGAATCAGACCACTGGACGATTGTTGTTATCATCATAGGCATGTAAAGGAAAAGAGTGGCGTTGAGAATCACCATCCTGCCGGGTAAAACGCATTTTGAACATGACAAATCTTTCACTTCCATATGTAGCTCATTCTATATATATCATCAGAAAGAAAATTTTAAATTATGAATCTAAATGCACCAACAAGAAATGAAATGTTAATAGATATTCATATTCCTTCTAGATAGTCTGTGATATGAAATCATAATATCAATTGCAGGGCACTAAATCATGGGAAAATAAAAACACCATTATTTTAACAATGACATAATTGGGGATTTTCAAAAACCCACCTCACTTCTTAGGGCATCTGATGCAGTCTTCCGTTCTGCTGGATCAAGCGCAAGAAGATTATCCATAAGTGTAAGTGCAGAAGGTGGAAAATCTTTAAAAGTCTCTCGTATGCATCTCTTGTAAGGCTCTCGAGGTTTAAACAAGGTAGCATTAGGCAACTTTGACCTCTTCCAGTACTCATCTGAGGGCGAACCACATAGTTTGTATATCTTATGCAGCTGCTCCACCTACATAAGCATTCAGAAAAAGGGATAAGAAAAGGTGTGAAACATGGCGTTCACACATTTTAGAGTCCGCTTTGAAATCTAATGGAGATACCAAATACTCAGCAGATAGAATGCAGATATTTGGAGATTGCAAAATTGTTGTATCACACCAGTTATAAGATAGAGAATCCCAGAATTACATTAGACACTCACAAGGTATGACACAAGATCAGTGAAATGATAAACCCCATTAGTCAAAAGAAAGATATTTAATTGTTACCTCTGTGCGACCAGGCATAATTGGCTTTCCTGCCAATAACTCTCCCAAAATGCAACCTGCACTCCAAAGATCCACTCCCACACCATATTCTGTGGCACCAAGAAGCAACTCAAGAGGTCGATACCAAAGTGTAACTACACGATTAGTCATTGGCAGCTTCCGGTTAGGATCGAAGAAAGAAGCCAATCCAAAGTCAGCTATCTTAAGTATTCCTTCATTGTCAATAAGAAGATTTGATCCTTTAATATCACGGTGAAGTACTCGAAGGTTATGACAGTGCTCGAGTCCTGATAATAGTTGGTGCATGTAACATTTGACCTGCAATAGGAAACACAGTAATTGCAGACACCAGAGACTCTCAAATGAAATGAAGTTTACGGAAGCTTATTTAACTATTTCTTGAATTTTCTAGGCAAACCTGTTCTAACCTGAGGCTCAGTGAACTTGGTTCCTGGGCTTGCAGTAAGTCCAGCCAAATCATGCTCCATGTAATTAAACACCAAATACAAACTACAGGACATTCTTGATGTAACTAAACCTTCCAATTTTACAACATTGGGATGATCCAATCGCCGCAAAATAAGAATCTCTCTGGCCATGAACTTCACACTCTCATGCTCCAAATTATCAAATCGAACCTTCTTTAATGCAACAATTTTACCAGTCAACATGTCTTTAGCTTTGTACACATTGCTATACGTTCCTTGCCCAATCTAGTGTAAAAACGAAGAGAAAGTTGATACAAAGAAACCAATCAATAATGCATCGTGGGCATTGACTATGCTATTGTTGGAAGGTTCTTGATATGCAGCTCGGGGATACCCCAGAAACAGCATGATCAAGCATGCCCCACAAGGTTAAATTAAATGTCTATTGATTTTGCATGATGCAATGCATGCACTAACAAGTAACAGAAATATGTAAGTTTTCTCAGCAAACAGAGACTCACCTTATCAATTTTCTCAAATGTGTCAGCCTTCCGAGGAATCCACCCATTAAGTGCTTCTCCACACACTGCCGTAAGCCAGGGGGGCCACCCAGCTGCTACTTGCTCCCCCCGCAAATGCTTTGGAGGGTTACTTAGCCTTGGGTTTGGCTTTGACCTTCTCCTTCTGCTGCGGGGCTGCTCAACCTGGGCCCCATCATCACCATCTTTCTCTTCCTTTCGGTTGCCAACGTTCTGAACCTCAACCACTTCTCCCTCAGCTGTCCCCGTGGTGCTCTCATCTATCTTCCCGTTCGGTTGAGCACTCAAATTCCTCTCCTCTTTCACCTCTGAAGTTATTTCAGACGAGACTTCTCGACTAATCACGCACCCCATATCTTGAATCTAGACTTCCTTCCTTGACATGGTCCTAGTGTAGGCTTGTATCACTAAAAAAATCACTGCAATCTAATAAAAATCACAAGCATCCTTAACTAGGTAGGTGAACAATTAATAAACAAAGCTAGAAAATTTATAGATTCGGTAATCGAAAACTTCCCACTTTCAATAGTGAATGACCCACAAAGCTCAAGAGGCAGGAGCGCAAATAGAATCAGTAAATTTGAGAATTTTCAGTTGAGTAAAAGCGAGCAAGATTCAGTGGGTGACAAAATGGTGGAAATAGAAGGAAAGTGAAAACGAAATATCTATATGAATAGAATATTTGATGAATTTAGAAGGAAAGGCCAGGATTAAGTCGAATCAAAGATACGAATCTTACAGTAATCGATGTTGAATTTGCCGGTTCGGCTGTTTTGAGTCAAGCAAGAGAAGGAGGGAATATGAGCTGTGTTTGTTTGATCCTGTCCCGGTTCCGTTTTTGCCCTCTTTCTAGCTCAGACAAGCGAGGAAATGTAGAGCCGAGCGGATCTTCTCATTCTCCCTAAGTCAAAGCCCCGAACCACCGGTCGAAGTAGATGCTGAACCAAGGCAAGGACAAATAAAAAAAGAGAAGGGGAACTTCAGCTCCAATAAAAGGAGAGAAAAACGATTCCGCGATTCACCAGAAGGGGGGGGGGGGAGAAGGTAGATGAGTAATACTACATCCGCAACTGATTATAAGAGCCTGTTAACTAATTTGAAGAGATTAAAAAAGTAAGTTGAGTTAGTTATTTGTCCTAAATAAGTAGTGTCTTTTCTAAAATATCCTTACTAATCAAGTATATTGACTAGAATTATAATTATTAGAAGGATTATCTTAGAAAAAATTGAGTAAATATGAGAGACAAAGTGAATTAGAGTCTTATATTTAGGACCAGAATAAAAGTCAAACAGGATTTTATATTAATAACCGGAGGTAGTAATAATAAACACCGATGAAATAATAATACTAACAGGAAGATCCATGGATATTGTTTTTGAATTTTACCTTCATCTCGTAAAGAATTGTACCGTTCTTTTTTTGCCGGAAACAGTAAAAAGTACCATTTTTTGACCCGCAACAAAAATGTACCATTGCAAATAACCTTGTGACAAGACCATCAATCTCATTTCTTATGCGAAGTTTCAACATAAATTTATGAATAAATTTTATTATATTGTTATTATATTAGATATAGATACTGAATTATTGATTTTATTTTAATAATTCATTCAGTTATTTTTAGAAAATAAATGAAATATATAGTCCTTAACATAAATAAATGATATCAAAATTCAACGTTTCAAATATACTACCTCCGCTCCTAATTAGAAGAGTTAGGTGACTAATTTGAGAAGATTAAGGAAGTAAGTTGAGCTAGTTATTTGTCATAAATAGGTATTGTCTTTCCTAAAGTATCCTTGCTAATCAAGTGTATTGGCTAGAATTACCATTGTTAAAAGGACTACTTTGAGAAAAAATATATAAATATGAGAGAAAAAGTGGATTGTGATCTTATATTTAAGACCAAAATAAAAGTCAAACAAGGTTTTATATTAAATATCAGAGGTAGTATTTTTTATAATTTATATCAACTTTTTCATATACTATCAAAATATGGAAATATTTAGGTTTTTCAAAAGAGAAAATATTATTTATGCTTTAGAAAATTCCTAATCCACAAGGCTGCACAACAGATAGACTGGACTAGACCAGAGCCCAATCCCGAAGTTTGGTCTAATTTTTGGTTGGGGTCGGTTTGCCAGTCTATGGTCTGGTCCAGTTCAGTAGTGATATGAGGTAAGGTTTGACAGACTTGGTCTACCATACTAGTGGACTAGTCCATACAATCCAGATTCCTAATTTTCTTTTTTTTTAATTTTTTTTTATAGGAAGCAAGATTTTACCATGATAAATATAATTTAAGACAAAAAAAATGCCTATAATCATATAAAACTCATTCTAAAATATTAAGATTTCATCATAAATACATAAAAATTTCTAAAAATATTAAAAAAAATTAAAGGTAACATTTAAATTACAAATTATTGAAAAATAAAAAAATTCACCTAGATTGGACCGGACCGATCCAGGTGGTCTAATTATTTGATCCGAAACCCAGTCTAACTCGACCAACCAATATGGTCTAGTGTGTCCTAGTTTCATTATATAGTTTATTTGGATTGGACTGGACAAGACCAAACTACTTCAGGTTGATTGGACTGGACCAAATCAGACCAGACCACTGGATTTTTGCACATCCCTATCCGCAAGTATTTCACTTATGTTTTTCTCCTACAACTTTAGGTTTTATTTAAAGTCACATTTAAAAGCACTAATAAACACATCTTACATAAATCGATATAAAACTTATTTTACATGATTATCTTATATTGTGTAAATTACAGTTAAAGAATTGCCAGAGTTCCACCCTTTTTCTGTATGTGCATGTACGTCACTCAACTAATAACGTGCATAGTCTCTTTACTGGATTCATATTTTCATCTACTGCGATTGGTTCGAGTGGCCGCGATGTGGAGGAACAAACCTTTCGATCTTATACTTCAACGTTAATGCTAGTTCTCATTTAAAAAAAAAAAAAAGGGTCACAATTAGTTGAGAAGGCGATTTCTCTTTCATAGAAAATTAATAATCTCAATCGCTTTCGTATACATACACCCAGCAAATACTAGTTACTTGAATTTAATTAAATCCCCCCAAATGAATAAACGACGAAATACCTTTCAATTTTGTTCCCGCGTCTCTTCAACAATTATGTCAATCACTTTCATAAAGCAACGCCAACTATCACTCAAACATGGATCCTCATAAATGAATAACTAACAAAATGATCCCTCAGGTAAATAATAAGTAAGCCCAAAATCTAGAATCTCCTAAGAAACTTCATGCTTAACCGCAAAGCCAAGCTTCAACCCTCGAAGGCTCGAACTTCTTGACCATTGACGAAGAGTGGTCCAAGAGCTTGAGAGCTCAATCTTCCTGAAGCGTAGCCTTAATTTCGTGATATGAACAACATGCAACAGAACTTTTTTTTTTTTTTTGGGTACAACATGAAACAGAAATTTTAGTTGCAAGTGTTTTGGCACACACTAGAAAGTCAGCAAGTTCTTATTTATCATTTTATCATATAAGCATAACAATGCTTTACCACGCATTTTTCTGGTTAAATTCTCCTCTTATTTCCTCGTGCTCCACAGACAAAGGAAAGATTTGCCCGAATTTCCCTTATTCATTCACAGAAAGGCATCCAGGAAACGCAGATTCATCCGCATGAACATGAAAAAAATAATAAAAGACCAATGGAAAAGCACAGAACCGTTATTATGCATCCTAGATTTTGGATATAATACATGTAGCATATATCTACGTTCATATTTTAATATTGCACCCCAGAGCAACTTCTTGACACATTTTGTCCGCGGGTTTTAGTTCTTACTTTTCCTTGTTTTTAGACATTTCGTCAATGGCTTTCCTAGGTGGAGCTGAACAGACAGGCACAACTGATCTGATTCGAACAGGTGATGCTATAGATAGAGGAGGGGGAGGTGTGCCCACCATATCAAACCTCGCAGACATGGGCATGGCTGGACTTCCTCGGACCCCAGTTCTCATCCTTGAGGAAACCGACACAGGAAGTTATCTATGTCGTGGCCTGGACTCTGCAGAAGAAGCATAACCCATGGTTCTGATCATTGAAGATGCAGATGCAGGAGGTCTAAAACTTCCATTTGTGTTTGTTTCTGGAAAGGTTCTCGGTATGGGACAAATATTGTCAACCTTAGGACGGTTTTGTAGCAAAATATTTCTATTTCTGCTTTCAGGCACACATCGCTTTTGTCTCTCATCCTCCAGAGATACTCTACGGGCTCTTGTTTTATTACTTGAATCGCAAATTGGAAAATTAGGGACTTCGGATTGAGAAAACTCTGATGAAGTTTCTGGCTTCTCCTCATGAATCTCTTTAATGATTACTTTTGACCTGTTTAGATCAGAAACATGGTGGTTTGGAAAGTAAAATGAAGGGCTTGATGCAGAAATGGAGAATCTTGGTCCTATAGGGACTGACACTGACCCCTTGGCTGGAATATAAATGCAGTAGTCTGACTGGAGAACCGATTGCATAAAGGGGAAAATTTGTGGTGCGGATGGAATAGGTGGTGGAATAGCTAGCGCCAAGAGGTGATTTTGCTGCTGTACAATTTGTTCTTGCTACCAAATGTGATGCACCGACACACGAGGGGAAACGCCAGAGAGGCCGCGACTTTGGAATTGCACAGGACACGTGGTCGGCATTGGCAACTCCAGAGATGCACTGTAGCTTTGCTGTCTATGTTGGTGATCACCTTCTGCGGAGTCCTTAGATTCCCACAGTTTTAAACTTGCAAGAACCTGAGCAATGATGAACTGTTCCTGTACCTCATCACGTTTAGACTCTGAAGGAAATGAAGTTGGAGGAGATAAGTGATGCTGTGACACTAAACAGAGAATGTCAAACAATTAGCACATGAAAAGTTTGTAGAAGCTAAAAGAAAATGATGCAAGTAATTTTTTTGAAAAAAAAAGTGCGTTGAAATGAAAAATTCTTGATCTCACAGAATGTTTGAGTGCAGACTCCATAGTGCAAATGCATAAACAATTTGGGCACTACGGAAGAGAGATACAGTAAAAAGAAGCAAAAGGCTCACATTTTCTCAATGAAGTCCAAGCAACCATTGCAGCATTTTTTTTTAGCCTGTTTCTTGGTCCTAGCTGGCTCGCCAGAAAAATTCATTCCAGCAATCTCAACTGTACTTGAGAAGATAGGAACATGACCTGGTTCAGATCGAAAAGTTGTATAAACAGGAAGATTCAGTCCAGCTCCATGAGCAGTTTCCTGGAGTAAATTCTTGTATATTCCTGATTCGTCCTGTTAATATGTAGCTACCAACTATTATTAAAAAGAAGAAAAATAGTGTTGGTTTATCTATCTACACACAGAGGTTTTCTACGTTCCTATGAGAACCATTCAAAGATAGAGAATGACATAATTCATCCTGCTCCACTCTCTCCCCAGTCAAAACTTAAACATAAAAACAGAGAAAAGAAAAGGGAGAGACATCAATTCTTTTCTTTCTTTTTTTTAAAGGAGGAAAAACCAGAGGATTTTGCAAGGAATAAAGTATTAAAACGCGCGCGTGTGAGAAAGGGCATCAGAATCAGAATATATTCATATTACTTATAAAACGTGGTAATTATGAAAATAGAATAATCATGTAAATATCTTTTATTTAATGTAAATATTCTAGGATGATTTAGGGAGCAGATTACGGTATATCAATAGGAGGGTATCATGGGATTCTATCTTTAAAATCTCAACTATTTATGGTTGAAGATTCTGCTGTACTCTATATACTTTTCCTGAACTATACGAAATATACACACGGAATATTCAAACCCAAATATTCTACATGGTATCAGAGCAGACCGATTCTTGCTTCGTTTGACAGTCCGCCATTGTACGTTGCTCCCAGTGAGCAGTTCATCCCGCAATGGCAACCTCTCTTAGTGGGACA